TAAGTAGTCTCGAAGCAAATTGCTTTTAGATTACATTTGAGCAAACTTGCATTTTCCCCCCATATCACTTCTGGACCATGACAAAAAGCCAACGTTTTTGTGCTTGAAAGCGGCAGCCTTTCCTTTTTGTTGAGGTTCCCTCCTTCAATCGAACCGGCCATGCATTTGCATTCTTGACCGAGATCGGGAATGATGGATGGACCTGTGTGTAATGAGTGGACTTGGTCTTGCGGCTGAGTCGGAGAGGTTTAAATTGATGGGCAATCTATTTTGCATTACCGACTGATAACGAGGAGACCATAGGAAAGGCACAAGGGAGACGCGTAACCCAGCCGACAGTAGCAAGGGTAGACGGGGTAAGCGATTGTGGAGGGGTGATCTTCAGAGCACACACACAACCGTACCCACAGTTACTCTCGCTTTACGGAATTCGTTTTCTGTTTCTATGCATCATACTTGAGATGGTTTATACTCTCTAGACCTCGCTTGGAGTCGGTTGTCCAAATGAGAAGAGACAGTCCCCAACTTCCTCTGAAATTCAGTGAAAGTGTAGGCAATATCCGAGTATATCAAGTAATTCCAAGTAAAACTGAAAAGGCCTATCCCCAATGATGGTTTCGCTTTAACTAAAAAGCGTACGACTTTATCATTAAAAGCATACAAAATTCGAGAAATTAGTTACCTTAATTGATTGACTTCGTTTTTCCTAGTATAAGTAAATTCTTTCTGCAGGTAATCTCAGGCGTGGTAGATGCCTTTTGTGCAAAACCGCTCTATTGCTGATCGCTCAGAACACGTTGTTGGTAATTACAGTTGTGAAAAACAATGTAATAATTTTCCTTCAAGAGGCGCACAAACCGAACTCTCAATTTGTGCGAGAAATATCGAATTTTCCACAGGCGCACTGATCCGATAGTTTACAGAGTGCTGTAGACTGAAGCTTCATATAAATTGGACAACATTAATGAGAAAAACAACTTGTACGATTTTTTCAAGAAATTCTGTCGATTTACTCATTCGTTAAAGTGAATAAAGCCGTGCTGTTGATTATTCCAAGACTTATTTGTATAAAAGTATGTATATATATATTTGTATAAAAGTCTGCTTTGAAGAGTGACTAACATTTGTAACGCGTCAGAAATTCCCTTTCGATGTTAAATTTGCGTGTTATATTTTTAAAAAACGCATATTTGAATGGACTTACTTTTCAGGATACAGTTCGTTAAAAAGTGTGTTCCCTTTTCACACTTGTTCTGTCCCCTTTCCTCCTTTTTTGTATTTTGTCTTCACTCATTATTTTGCACCTTTTCCCCCAAGACTTTGTTAGCCTCGTGGTTATGAATAAACATTTGGATGCTTCAAGCTATTCGGACTTCCGCGCCCTGATTGCTTTTGGCCGCTTCTTGTAACAGTGAGGGTTAGCAGAGCGTTTGCTAGCAAAGCCTTGTATGCAGCAGTTGCTTCTAATTCATATACCCGGCTTACAAATGCATGACATGCATTCATGGGAATTCTATACTCAGTTTAATTTTCATTGTGCCGATGGAGAATATCCAAACAAATTGATTCGCCATACAGGAACCCGGAATTTCATCTCGGTAAACAGAGAGTATAGTTCAAGAGATGTGATTCAAACTCAATCCAATATTATCTGAAAACGGGGCAAAGTAACAGAGCAACGTGATTGAAAAAAAAATGGATTGATTTTTGTGCAGTCAGTCCGGTCAACCAGCTGTGGATCGATTAAAGTATAGGGCCTCGTACACGAAGGAAGATTCTCTTGGGTTTAATGTGTACATCGATGCAGTGACGCACACGCAGTGAAGCAAAAGAGCAGGCATCCGGCCCTCTCCTCACCCTTGAGATTAAGCTAAAAGTCAGAACAACAGCTCCGTGAACAATTGCCTCCTCTAGCGGTGAAGACGCAAAACATTACTGCTATACGCAAGGGAACTTTCGTAGAGGTCATCCTTGGCTTTTCCTTTTTGTGTAATTTTTCACGGACGTTTGTAGAATATTTTGTGAGTGTAGGGCCTACAATTCGTTTCCCTTGAGGGAGCTGAAAGAGCGTGGAAGAAAAATAATGACCAATCGGCATTTTCATTTGCAGCGTTTGGCAGGCGTAAGCAAGCTTCTTGAGAAAAAAGGGTTATTTTTTTCCACAATCAAATTTACACATTGTCATATTTTCCAGCAACATCGTTGCCCTTCACCAGAAGTTGTTGGTGTGAGTGACTAGGCACCAGCGACTTTAATGAAGGCAACACGATGTTGCTCGAAACGTCAAGACAAAAGATGTTTGATTGTGTAAAATTAGCCGTTGTTCTCTAGAGGTTAATAGCGTATTCCAGCTGCTATTCTCTCCCTGTTGAACAAGTTTGCAGGTGTACACTCGTGAAAATGATGAAAATAGATTATTGTGTGATGTACAGCTGTATACACTCTTCAGTCAACTGTCGACGTGAAAGGTGTCCTCGTTGCAACCCTTACACTGTCTAAAAAAAACCCTGTGTTTAACGCCCTCTTCAGCTCTGCTCCGACAAACTGACGTGGACTGTAATGCGCTTCTCACTTCTTTTTCACCGTAAAGACAACTATGTACGTTTTTGGTGTGCGTTGCATAACTGATGCGTTCGTGCGTTCCACTTTCACAGATATAAAAATCGACCCCATTAACACAACACACGTTAGCATAGCGTTCGGCCGTCAAAATCGCCCCGGGAGCGATTCTGACGGGTGCGCAACGCCTTTCCATAATGGGCGTCAACGCTTGCGCCACGAGTTGCTCCCAGAGCGATGTTGGCGGCCGAACGCAACGCACACGTGTGCTATGTAAATGGAGTCGCCTTTTGTGTCCATGAAAGTGAAACGCATGAGCGCGTCGCATACGCAACGCACCCAAAAAATGTGCATACGGAAAACTGTACGTTCTGATGCGTGAATTTGGATACCTTGCTTTCCCCGCCACCTCCTTAACCTCGATCCGTGCTAGTTTTTCCCTATCTACCTTAAGCAGAAGCGACCCTCATCGCTTGAAAAAGAGTCATGTTGGTCGTGTTCATTGTCGCCGGTAGCTACGCGACCGTAATGTATGCATTAATGTATTTCATATATAAGTGAACAAGGGAAGTGTAGTTCCTATCCGGTTTGTAAGTGACTTTGTCACAAAGGCGGACGCGCCACGATTTGCATGCTCTCATTGGACAAGCGCTGAAGTTGCGCGTTAACTTCCGGTTCCATGGTTCCACGTAAACGGCGATCAGTGCATGTAACCCTATGTGCAGTGCACGTGTGCAGTAGGCGCGGCTTTAAACTGAAGTGACGTCACACTTACGAACCGGATACCAAAGGAGCCCTCCGTTGCTGGGAAAATTGCGCCCTCTCTTGGTCGCACGTCCTTACTTACGTCCCATGAAAAATGCACGATACCCTATATACTCAAACCAAAAGCACTCTGGCTGCCAAATGTCAGTGTTTCTTCATAGGCACGAATGTTTACAGCTAAAGGGAGGGTGTGATGATTCCTGACGTATTTATACATGTATATAAGCTGAAAGCGCACGATCTTGCCACTCCAAGGACACGGCTAATGCATGACTTATTGCAGAGTCTACTCGTGACTGATGATAGTCCCCCATTCATGCAACACGAACCACGCGAGACGTCATGGTAACCAAATCACAAATGGAAAACTGCCTTTGGTGTCGTGGAGTCATCGCTCGACGACCGAAGAGAAGTTGAACGTCCCCCACTGGAGAGTAATACAAGCAGGTGTCGAAGGAACCGCCAAATGCATGAAAAAAAAGCAGCAATGATGTCCTTTAAGGGCTTCCATAGCATCGTTTGGATAAAAATATACTGGCGCACGAGTTTGTTGAGTCAACTGTTTGTTTCACGCGCAACACCGAGTCGTGTGTCCCATCTCTATCTCTCCCAACTTCGAAGAATTAAAAGGGGTTTTTCTCAATTCCAGTTATGTGTGGGAGGTTTCGCTCACTCCCACATGTCAGAGAGTCGTTTTCATTCCTTTGTGCAACTGACTGAGATGTGCTTTTTCAGATGACGTATTGTTGTATCAGGCCGGCCGCGCAGGTTTCAAAGTAATTGTTTATCAGCGTCAATGCCAACAGCAAAGTCCTCCAGCGCCCAAATAACTCAATCGAACTAAGTAACCATGTTGGCAGGGGGCTTGCTTCAGCTTTCTTTCTACTGACTGTATTTCAGTGTGTTGTATAAAATAATACTTCTCAGTTTTTATGGTTTTGTGACAAAGGGAGCATTCTATCCAGGACTTGCTGAGCTCACAGCAACTACTGCAATCACGCTCTTAACGTGGATTTTCAGACGCTTTTTTTTTGCTCGAAGACACGCGTGCGATTTAGATGCCTCTGCGTATTCTCTGCCAAAGGCATGGCCGTGGGTTGTGAGACGGACACGGCAAGAACGGAAGTATTAAACTCTGTGTTTGAGAATCAAGAACAGAATAAAGGAACCCTACAGGGTCAAGTTTAATGGACAGATTGAAGTGCAGAGAGATATAAATATATGCAACATATCAGTATAGCTCAATAAATTTCGAGAAAGAAAGAGAGGCGAAGTTGGTCGGACACATTTTCATGTTTCGGAAGCCCATGCCGTTGATGGGTGTTCTGGGGCCGGGGACACCTGGGGATAAAGTCGTCCATCTATGGACGCCAGCGCTTTCAGGAGCGCTGAGATTTAACCCTCAAAGTGCCGGTGGATTTGGCCCGTCTTTCCAGCCGGGAGGTGGATCCCACCCCCTAAGAACTTGGCTGTGCCTCGCTCAATTTTGTGAAGACTTGGCATGCATGTAAAGACACTCATGATCACAAATGTGAAGTTTGAACTTAGACATGGTTTTGTTGTTGAAGGCTACATGCATGCCAGCCCGCGTGCATTGAGCACCGCAGTGGAAAAAGTACGTATACATTGTGGGCTACCTTGGAAAATGGGCGCTGTGCACGAACGTTATATTCGATCTTTACAAAATTGGTGTCAAAATGACCGCAAAGACTTACTCTAAAGTCCCAGAAAAGGCTCGACTCCTGAAATATGTACTGCAGTGATATCGGAAAAATGTCGCGGGGGGGGTACTCTGCTCTAGCTCCTGTAGGTTGAAGTGGATGTACTCCCACGATGACTTGAAACAAAATCCAAACGCAACAACCAAGCCAAGTCGCGACCATCACCCATTTCCAAACGCCGAAGTTTTCACTCGGTCACCCGTGAAACGGTGATCCGACGATATCAAAGTTTCACCAAATAAAATGTCAATGTCATTGTGGCACTGAAAAGAATCTGACAAGAAACGCGATCTATTCGTTTGAAATGATTTCGGTCGAGATGGTCTCGACCCGTCTTGGAGTAAACTAAGTGGAGTAAATGAGACAACAAGGGTGATATCATCGAACCCTACAAAAGCATACGCAGCACCTCCCGAATCAAAGGCAAACAGCACCAGGGTGTAACAAAGGATAGGTGTCATGAACCAAAATACAGTGAAAATGTGACCATATTTTACATGATCGTTTGAATACTCAATGACGTACACTTTTCCGATGGAAACACGATTTTATACATAAAGCTGTCTACAAGGTGTTCTGCCCCTTTAATAAGTCATGATCCTGGGACAGTGGAAGGAAAAATACATTCATTTCAAATTATAATCTCCACAGTTGGCCCCTCGACAATTGACTCCCTTGTGCTATTTTCTCAAAGTCTTCAGTCTCCTATCTTTTCCTTCCCTCTGCGGTGTCTTTCCGGCACGCCCTCTTTAGCAGGATCTTCAGCAGCCCATCATATTCAGAGAATATTCCCAGTCAGTCTTCTCTGTCGTTTAATTAGTAGAGAATTGAATTTAAAAAGTTAATCAAAGAAAGTGTACGTGAAATACGGTAGTTTACTGTGAAAACGCGGTGATTCAAAGCAAATAGGATGGTATATTATAATACATTGGCTCAAGCTTCTGTTATTTACGACGTCTTTATAACTATGTACATGAAAATATTTGCGACAGCGATATCGAGATTTCTTGCTGGTGAATACAATGAAATCGGTGAGACAAATAATTGTTTATAATTTACCTTAACAGAGTACAAGTAATTTCCTGATTATAGATAATGTGGCGTAATATTAATTTAATGGTCCCAGCGACGTTAAAGCCCGTGCATGCGGGGAAACAACTGTTTCCCTTGTGCAGTGATTGGCGGTGAACTCCGACTGATTTACAAGCAACCGATTCGTGCTAGTCTGGAATGACACATGAATTAACATTTGCCATCGACCATACACAGCCCTATTTTTTCCCAGCGTTAATTTTCCCTCTGTCGACACAACACAGCCCTGCACATGCCCACCACTTCAACAACTAAATTAACGTAGCGACCGTGATTTCTAAATCCCGCGACTTTACCTCGGGCGCGAGTCCTGAAATATAGTGTTGTCCTTTGACCACTGCTTCCACATTGACTCAGAAACTCACGCATGGTACACGCGAGCAACCTCAATCCCCGGCAATATTGGGATGCCTGGTTTATGAACAGATGCGATAAAGATTAATCCAAGTTCCCTCAATTTTTTAATTTTAAAGGCGAAGGTATGATTGACATTTCCGGTGGAGTACTTGCAGATATAGTTCAGATTTCCACCTTATATTAATTTACAAAACGATATTTGCCTCAACAGCTAAGGCGGGAAAACGGATTGATGTAAATGCCATGCAATACGATTGTTAACATTAATTATATATTTTGTAAGATAAAGATTCAGAATTACAGAGTGGTTGACAAAGATTGGGCGGTACAATCAAACCCAAACATCCTTTCAGTGCGACTCGACGCTAGCCACAAAGTGGGTCACGTTTTTCAGCTCCACCGTGCATGAATAGGATTCAGCGTCATTCGACAACGACTGTTTCCTGTGGGAGTTTGAAATGGGGCGCAAATTGTATTTGAATTGTGGAGTTCTTGACGCGTGAAGAATTCTGTGTATGATCATTCAGGGGCTGTCAAGGGAATGAACGGGAATAATAGCAAACAAATAAGAACCATTACATTTCACGCGGCTCTACGTGTCACAGTATGAAAAAGGCCGATGTTGGAAAGATGATTGGCTCAAAGTTGCTCACCATAAAAGAGTAAAAAGTCCTTGCACAAAAAATCTGGTTCAAAACAATCCTTTATGTGGCAACAAAAAGAGATATTATTATGCCGGCTTAATATTTTCAATACAGAATTGCAAAGAAGACTGCTTACAGCGTTAACGAGAAGATTTTTAAACAGAAACTCATGTGTTGAATGTAGATAAAGTGTCTTCGTTGAGTGCCGTTGAGTCTTCGTGACGCTTTCTGAAAGCTCGGCAGGTGAACGCCTCGAAGAAGGCAGTTCGGTATCTTTGGTTCGTCAGGTTGTATATGACGGGGTTTATCACAGGGTTTATGTAGGTGAAGATGCGAGCCACCCACACGAGTGTGTTGATCTGGTCGGGTGTGAGGAGGTTGTTCCCCGTGAGACCACTGATGGTCAGTGAGAACGAGGTCAGTTGAAATGGCGCGAGACACACGAAAAACGCTACGCCGTTGGCAATTAGCATGACGGCCACCTGATTTCGGATCTTCTGGCGCTGGACATTCCGGGCGCTCTGCTCGGGCGCGACGCTAGTGATCCGAGTGCTTAGGCTCTTAATGATCTTGACGTAGAAGAATAGGTTGGAGAACAGCGCCAGAAAGAACGGTACCGTTTGAAATCCGTTGTGGAATTCGTCGTACCAGTCTGTGATAGCTCGACACTTCCCGATGTGTTGCGGAAAGTGCTGGTATTCCTCCGTCTGCGGCCAGATGGTGCAGACTTTGACGTAGACCGCCCAAGCTGGTAGTAACGCCAAGGAGAATGCCAAGGCGAGCAGCCAGGCTCCGACTATAAGGCGAGCGGTGCGCTTCTTGCCGCCGATGACGCGATGCTGCACGGGCCGACAGATAGCGTAATACTTCTCCAGCGAGACCAGGGTCACCAAGAACACGGAAGCGAAGTAGTTGAGGTCGAGCAGAGCGTAGGTGATGATGCAGCCAGCACGGCCCAGCGCCGACCGGTCCAACGTGACCGGGCTGTTGTAGAAGTTTGCGAGCTTCTCCGAGACGGCGATAGTGAGGAACGCGGTGTCGGCCACCGCCATGTTGATGAGATAGATGTTGGTGACGGTCCACATCCGTCGGATGCGCAGCATGACGAAGAGGAAGGCCAGGTTGCCTATCAGGCCGAGAGCCAAGATGCAAGGATTGACCACAGAGGTGATGGCTGTGTCTGTGGGATTATAGAGATATCCGGACGGCACCGAGGAGTTGCTGTAGTCCTCAACCTCATCACCTGTGCAACTGAAACTCAAAGGAGTGGGATCCATCGTCTGAGCTGAGAAATCGTGCACTCCAAACCTTGTTTTTTTTTAGACATGCATAGGTTCCAACACTGTCCTTGCTGCCAACGGATGAGCATCTGTCGATCGCACCGCACTTGAGAGGTGCTTGGGTTTTTATAGGAGAGAAGATGCCGACTCGCGTGGCCGCTTCACTTGCTCTGTGCCTTGGCCGTGACGCAGGTGTGCGCACTCAAACTCGTCGACGGCAAACCACGGATGGTGAAAAGCTGAAGCGCAGGCGCGCGGTAAACTACCCTGGCTCGCCAGATGAGCACACAACCGTGGTGTGTAAATGAGCGTGTGTGTTCATTGCAGGTCGTGCATTAGTAAACGTACAAGCTGTTTAGGGCCACTTGACTCATTGTGACGTAACGGATGGATGACAAATTAAACACAATAAGATTGTAAAACTGAGCTGAGTCGGTAACTTTACAGTGCTGCCCTTCTGTCCATGATAATATTGCGCATCATCATTGCATCGCTGAAATCAAGTTTAAAGTGTTTATACAACTGATTACCGTGTGCGTGAAACGCCAAGTGATCGACACATAATTAGCTGACAAATTTTGTTTTACACACACAGTCGATGGCAATTGGTATTGGACAGCCGTCTATTACTTCAACATACAGAAACAGATTTCTTTGTTGTGTTATTTATTAAATTGGTTGTAAATCAGTTAATTGCAGTTGTTTTCAGGAAAATATTGACAAAGGTTACTTATGAGGAGGGCTTTGCATATAGGCCCACTAGTGCAAATTAAAAAAACTTCCAGGTTACAAACAAGCCAGGGTAAGGGACAAACGAAAAGCTTGACTCAAATCAGAACAGACAAGACCAGACCAGGCCAGACTAAACCTAACCAGACAAAAACAGTATTGACTTGTGCCACTTTTTACAAAGAGGCAAGTGCAATTGAGCATTTACACAGTGACGTTCCTCTTTATTGAAGCAGTCTAGACCCCAGACGAGAAGATACCGACGATCCTGTGGTTAGTGAGCCAAAGGGCATTTTCGAAACGCGTGGATTCGGCTTAGACTACAGTTTCGCTGGTTCCAGGCAGAGCTTGAACATGTGGTTTCCAACGCTGCTTCAAAATGGCTGGAACCAGTGAAACTGAAGTCTAAGCCGAATCCATGCATTTTTGCGATCAAATGATTACGTCATCGGGAGGAGCCGTATTTGGTATCAAAATGTCCGATATTCTCCATAACTTCAGACGACATTTGGGTTTTATAGTGATCCGCTGTTTCTAGCTGTGAAATAACTGACTAACGTCAGTCAGATCGAAGCTGGTATTGGCAAAACTCGATATAAGATGTAATGTCAATCGTCGGCATTGAAACGCACCACTGCGTGTAAATATAGATTGTGTTCAAGCCATGCATCATATTCTGTATTAGACCGTCGGGGTTACTTGACTTTCGATTGATTAATAATCAGCTGAGTCCTAGGTGCCGGTAACCAGACTAGTTAAGGGAGCAGAAGAGGGTACATCCCGTGGACGTATTTTTACGTCCGTCCTCCACCCGTGTTCACAACTGCAAAATATGATAACAACTGATTGCACTGGAAACAGATCTTACAAAATTCGAAGAGAACCGATTTGCCCACGTGCAATTACTTTGCACTTCCAACCGAAACTAGGAAAAAAATGAGGAGAGAAATCTCCTGGAATCATGTCTTCCTGTCCTTAACCAAAGTACGAGGAATCGCCATTAGTAGGCACATTTTACGGCCTGCACGTTACCATGCTTAGCTGCAATTACGACGCCGGCCGCTCATAATGAACGGCTCGGCGTTGCCCGGATGCAGCACGAGAGCTGAACATTGACGTTCCGTCCCCGAGTAAATGAGTTCACTTTCGGCGAGGGCGTCGTTGATATTCCTTATCGGCAATTATCGACGTTTGTCAGAATGATGGTAACGTTTAGATTTTGGAAGGCATCGGTCGCGGGTTGGTGGCCGCCGAATGATTATTTGTAGGCGGGGAACCTAAGCGGATGTCCTGGAAACCGGATGTCCTAACGAAGAGTTATTGCTTTAAAGTGAATCAAACATTAAAAAAATATTTAGCTATGGATCGGATTGTCTGACTGCCTGTCTGTCGGGCGGGCGGGCGGGCGGGCTGTCTGTCTGTCTATTTTTTTTCTTTCTCAACAGCCTTCACATTTCCAATGCTCCCGACTTTTAAAATTATGTCATTCCCAAATTTACAGCCGGGTCACAGCAGTGGATCCATGATGGCCGCTGGACGTGTTAAAGGCTTTAATAGCCAACGCATGCAAAATGCAAAGGTCATAAGCAATGAACCGAAATCGTGTTGTATTCTTATAAAGAATATAGCTGATTTTCATTTAAGCTTATGCAAATAATTGACAGTGACCAGACTGTACTGTCCGGACAGCCACCTGGACTCTGGACTACCCCCACCGAAGTTGTGATTAGCTTCACCCCTCCTGATATAGCGTTTAATATGTTTGATGAGATTGCAACCCCAAGGCGTGATGTTGTTTTCCATTTCTCTCACTGTCTGATGGGAAGCTCTGCACGCCAACGTGGGCAATTAAACGACAGAAACTTACGGGTGGAGCTGTTACGCACGAACTGCGGCACTTTGTCGTAACACCATCTATACTACGGTCGCTTCGAAAAGTGCAAGATGGCCATTTATGGGCCGTTGGCCCCGTAGATTCCTGTCACGAAGACTCGAGACTCGGTCCGGAAGACGATTTGCGTGTCCAAGCTGAAGAGCTGCGTTCGAACCTTTCTTTTCACTAGAAGAACACAGCATCTGTAGACCCTGAGTCCGTGTGTGTCAGGCTACGGCACCCATGAGTCTTTTTGAGTTTTTTTTAAATTGTTGTCCATTGGTGCCACCCATTGTTTTCAGTATTAGTTTGATTTCCAGACCAGCAGATTCTGTCTATTTGAGAGAACCATCAGGTTTGTTAGGCGCCAAGAGTACCCGACCAAAAGGGTTGGTAATGTGTCTACAGTTGCCCAGAACTTTCTGAACCCAGTGTTGTTAAGTTTCGAACATTGACTTTAGTGTTTTGCGAAAATATATAATATTTTGTTTCTTGTCAGATGTTCCCATATAGACCACGTGTCATGTTTTTCCCCAGTGGTCTTTAATGTACTCTTTTCGTTACGATGCACAATAATATTACCAGATGTCAACAGTTGTTATACCAACTTCTTAGGGACCCTTTTGGAGAAGTCATCTTCTGGAGGGGGATACTCCCAAGTCTTGTTTTCTGACAGTTTTACTTATCTGTTCTGTCTTCTTAAAAAAATAACTAGGCGGGGGTAACAATGGTAGGCTCAGATCTTGGGCAGGGCCCCCATCCTGCTCCTCGACCTTCCTATGAGCCTCGAGTTGGACCCAGAGAGGGTGCCATTTTCGTAGCAAAGCGAGGCTCCTGTGCTCGGAACTGAACTTCGCTGGTTCACGAACCACTAGGAAATGTACGCGTTACGGTCACATTACTACCAACAAATTGAAAATTTCCGACTTAACATGGTTCTTTTCAAACGATGAGGGGGTGCTTCTGCTCGTGGCGGAATTGTCACGGCCCAGTATGGAAGTCAGGATTTTGTCCGGGGGCAGGAGTTAAACCACTTTTTTCAAGTGGGTGGGGGCAAGCATTTATCAGCTTCGAAATGATAAAGCATTAGTAATGGAAATGGCCAATTTTATTTATTTTTTTTCAGACAAAATTGATGATTTCCATCTCTTCATCACTTTTTTTATTTCCGTTGCTATTTTGTTCCCCTTTTTATTTTTCGACTTTATTTATTTTTTTATTTTTATGGGGGGGAGCAAGCGCCCTCTAGTTTCAGAATGAAGTGCACCGACTTGTAGATGAACACAAGGCCTGAAGGATTATGGAACAGGCGGGTTCAGATAGCCCTATGTCTCCCCGTGCGTCCGTCTTTAGCAGATTTCCTGGACGTGGTGACACTGATGACGCATAATTTACACCACAACAAATTGACATTGCCACATCAAGTCACTTATCGTCCACATTAAATGGATCCATAAGGGTCAAGTATACAATGTTATCTCGGCAATCCGACAGTGTGACTCGGTACATTAGAGGAACATGAGTGCCGACCGTAGGCAATCATGCTCGGCGGTTGGGGAAAATGCTGTATGCTGGCGCACAGCACCGTACATTTAAGCTCATACGCCGGGCCGGTGTAGCAAACATGTAGAGCACTCATCGAGTCGCAAGTGTCACGCAGGCACACCAATTACCATTCAAAGTAAACACAGGAGCATTCGAGCCAGGACACGTCTGGCTAAAACACTTTTCCCCTAAACCTCGACTCATGAGACAGAGGATGGAAATCTGTTTCCTTCCTCAGTGCTCGAAATAATGGACTTTTTGTGTCCATCACAGTAGCGAGGGCGTCGGGCGAACTGAGGACAGCGCTCAGATTTCCTCGAAAGCAGTTTTTGTGTACTCTGTTTTTCTCATAATAAGAGAGATGTAACATTGCTCTCCTCCCCATCCATGGAAATAGTGTAAGGTTACAAAGCGAGCGCATGGCTCTCTTTGGTACTGCATTAACACCGTATAGTGTCCATGTTCACGTAGTTCAGTGTAGTTGACACACGGTGTCGATAAAATACCGCAGATTTTGCAGTGTGTAGCTGCTTTGTACCCGTATGTTCTCTGCTTTACTTCATCACAACCAAAATCAAGAATAAGGATAAACGAACAACTAATTTAAATCCAAAAGAACAACGGCATGATAAAAGCAAAAACAAAACGAAATCTTGCAACTGTTTAGGAACAAAGTGTGATAATGAGGTTTCCTTTTTTTCACCCAATCAATATCTACAACAATTGAGTATGTTTTGATGATAGTGCTGGGGTCACTTGAGTTGCTGTTCACTGTTCTCACAATGCGAGGAAGCTGTAACTATTCAAAACTATAAAGAAACCCGAGAACAATGATGTGGCTGTATTGAAAATGAATATAAAGAATAGACTTTTCATGGCTTTCCTTGCACTCTAAGTAAGATTAATGAATGCATGAATTCCCAGAACTAGGACTGGACTTTGATTTCTGCACCTATCCACATCCTAAGGGTTCAAACAAAGGTCATGCTCACCCAAACGAGTGGGTAAAGGGATTTCTTGATTAGAATCAAATGGCTTTTGTCTTTGGTTATATAACACGTCTATGGTTGATGTAAAGCCTGTCGGTCAACCACATCAGTGGCGAATAAGACATTTAGATCATTTATAAAATCTTCATGCCTATCAGTCAACCGTGTTAATTAACTTTGTGCGCCTCGAGCTTGCGTGACTGTGTTCTTTTGTTTTCCTTTTTTGGCGGTGGGGTGGGGGGATGGGATGTTAACCGTGGGTACACCGCGGACATAGGCCCATTGTGAGTGCAAATCTTGTGTTCCACACTATATGTATAATATACAGTGTCCACGGACTGGCGGGGCGACATTTCGGGGTTTGTTTGTCCGGAGAGGCAAAAGGCCACCGCCATGTCAGAACTTAATGCACAAAGGGTTTTTTCAAGTGTACATGTACCTCGTCACGCACAGCCGTGCTTCTCCAGACGTGGTGTCGTTACCTAATGCTTTTGCAGAGAAGATCCTCGACGCTTTTGAAACCTGCGGAACTGCGCGGTTGGTTATATGGGCTTGCTCGCAAGAGTTTCATCAAGATGGTGGACTGCATTACCACATGGCTGTCAAACTGGACAAGGCACAGTGCTAGCTCCGAGTTCGTTATTTTTTGGCATCTCGTTACGGTCTTTCTGTTCATTTTTCATCCCTTCATCACAACTACTACTGTCTGCGGAGGTCATATTTATGAATGATTTTCGCTGGAATCCTAAGTTGCTCACATGGCACGATATGCTTCCGTTACTTGAAGGCCACCCAGTTCATTTCCCTGCACCCAAAACACATTATGCGTGTGACATACTCTTTGAGAAAGACAGGCCCATCTTTTGTACAACCAAACGACCATTAGTGTGCATCACTAATATCACCGTTGATGAGCGAGTAACCGAAATGATGGCTGTCCCTTGGAAAGTATTTTCATCGTCGCATCAAATCCCAGCAGAAAATACAAATGGATGTTCAGGCATGTGGTCACTGTTTTGCAGATTTAGTCCTTGACAATTTAGTAGACCTCAGTGTTCTTGAGAATATACCCTCCTGAGGGGTGGGGTAGGTTGGTGGTTGAGGTTGGGGAGGGTGGTGGCGGTAGTGGCGGTATCTTGGGACCAACAGAGACGTGCATTGCACAACTCCTTTTTACTCTGTTTTTGGTATGCGCTTTTGGGAGGGGGTCGTAGAACTTGACTAATTTCTCCAGACTAATCAGCAAAAGGAGTTGGTTGCCGGTGTGTGACTGTACTGACATATTTCAATCCATTGAAAATGTGTGACTGTTACTACACAGTCAGAAACTCTTATTAGTGCATTTTTTGGGGGGGGAGGCTGGTTGCTAGACCTTGGCCTGTCTTTGCCTCTCCGGACAAACAACAAACTCACACAAGGCTTTATCTAAAATGTAACATTGGGACTAGGACACGATTGATCTAAGTTGTCAACGAAAGTCAACTGACGTCTCAACTAAACCTTCAATCAAAGTCATGTATAACCAGGATTACTTTTTACTCGACTCTTTATAAACTGTCTTTGCAATGATCGACAACTTCATTCGAGGATTCAGCATTTTACTTGTAGAATCCAATTTCATTGAGAAGACAAAATTTGCACTTAGAAAATAAACTGGCTAAAGTCGCTGGAATAATGAAATTTCGATTAACTGTAAAATTTGCCAGTTAATAATAACCCAATTGAAATCAATTGGCAACAACCGACAGCGTGTGCGGTGTTGCCTCTCCGTTTCCAAATTGGTTGTTGAGAGGAATTATTTTTAGGACTGGGTAGCCAGACTGCCTCCTCTCCGGCTCCACTTTCGTTAATTTTTCATATGAATGAAAGCGAATTTATTCAGACGAAAATGGGTTTTTGACGTTTACAGCCGCATGGTATCATTTGAAACGGCGTGCGCTCGGTGTTTTTTAGCAAGATGGATCGGTACAAAAACATGACATCATGTTCCATCAGCGCTTGCATTACCTGGAAAGCTAATTCTTTGATTAATTCTTTCCATTATCAGTCGTCAACCTAATGCTTTTATCGTCATTCTCGTCTTTTAGCGGCCTCACTATTTTGCGTGCTTCCGCTGTGCAATTAGCCACAGTAAATGTTTTTGCGTCGAAGTATTTCCTTGTGGTTTGAAGGTGGCTTTTGCAAGAGTTACGTTTGGCCATTGTTTCTAAGAAACCGACAGAGGGAGCTCTGTACAACGCGAAAAAAAAATCATCACGTCACGTGAAGTAATGAGCAGATGAGATAAGAGTAATCTACAGATGAAGAATAATTTCTTAATTGATATGTACGTTGCTCCTAAAAATGCTGTATGTCATGGTCGCCATGGTGCTCATAAAAGATGACAAAGAGCGAGGATTTGTTTGCTTCGGATTCTAGGATGGGACCATACAAAAATGTTATGCTTAATTCAAGTTCAATTTGCAGGAGGCCAGGCATGGGGGCGGGTCTTCATTGCATGGGGGAGGGACTCGATGGGTTCGTTGAAGGTGTTCTGAAAGGTGCAACGCTGGAAAAGCTGGAAAAGCTGGAAAAGCCGTGAGTTACCGCTAGGGTATTTTTTCGTCAACAACATGAAAACAGGTTCAGAAAGACTGGGTACACTTATTGAGGGTGGGAGGAAAGTGAGCGCCCCTTAGCTGGCAGCTACGTTGCACATTCTTTGTGCTTTCCCGCAGTTGTGTAGAAAATCTTTTAAATATAGGCCTAAGCACATGTATTTACACGCCATACCAGAACCACAAGTCAAATAAATTGGTTTTGGGAAGTTACAAAAGAGCAAGATTATTTCGCATAGTACATTTCATGCATTTTTTTTATCTGTGGCTTTGCTGTTGTTAAAATTTTTCCTATACATCTTTCTGTTATGCATTGTTTCTACATGCTCCAGAAAGATCAAATAAGATAATTACATTTTTTCCTCCCTTTCTTTCACACATTCACTTTTTTATATGATATACTGAACGTTATCTTCAAAAACCTAGTATGCGGTCTTGGCACACTCAGGGAGGCCCCAGCGAAACGCGATGCCACTAGTGTGTGGTACGTCAGTTTTGTTCAATAGCTGGCTACTGTGAGTTGTTCGTCCGATGCAGGGTAATTAGGACGCGAGCGGCTATACGTGTAAAGTTGTCACCCGGTAGGGGCACCCAAAGCTGAATCTTGGACGCCATAGATGATTCCTACACGGGATGCTTCGGTCTCTGTTTAAGTATGTCTAAATGCTTTTCACGAGGGTTGGCGTTATTCTTTGGCCGAAGTGTGAAGTGGGAACGATGTGCTTTCGTGTCTACGTCTTGCCTTGAACTGGTGCCACCCCTTGAGAAAGTCTCCAGGCAGGCGTGCCTGTAGCGAGGATGGAGCATGTAGTACACCAGCGGGTTGATGGCAGCTTGCAGGTAGGCCAGCGTCCTGGCGATCTGCGACAGGAGCCACAGCTGTTCACTCGTTAGCAAGGGGTGAGGGATGTAGTCCCATATGGAGGACACGAGGGAGACGCATTCGAACGGCGCCAGGAGGCAGATGAACAGCAGTCCGTTGCACACCAGCATGTGGATAATCTGCCTGCGCGTCTGCATCTTGCGAGCCGTCACAGGTCCCTGTAAACCTTCTGTCTGCGCCGCCACCTGCACGCGTAGAGCCCGGGCGATGCAGACATACATGCAGAGGGTCAGGAGCGTGACGAGAAAGAAGGGGGTGGTCTGCATGATATCGGTGTAGATGATCCACCAGTCATAGACGGCGCTGCACGTTGCCGCGACGCTGGGCAGGTCGGAGCGCCGCCACACCGCCGGCCAGGTGATGCACCGAGGAGTGAACACGCAGGAGGACGGAATGAAGGAGCTCGTGATGAGAAAGGCTACGGCCCAGGCAGCCAGGGTCGTCCTGATGCGCCGGCCTGCATTGATTGCCCGGTACTTGAGGGGTTTGCAGACGGCAAGGTACTTCTCCCGCGTGACCAGCGTCATGAAGAACAGGACAGCGAAGTAGCCTAAGGAGACGAGGAGTGGGGTCAGAACGCAGCCCGCTCCCCCCGACCACCTGCGGTCCCATCTCACCGGCGACGCAGCGAAGCGGATGATTTTGTCGCCGGCCGCGGAGACCAGGTACATAATGTCTGCCACGGCGATCTGGACCAGGTAGTGGTTGGTGGCCGTCCGCATGTGCTGCACGCGAATCACCGACAGCAGGAAGAGCGAGTTGGTCAGCAGGCCCACGACCACGATCACGGACATCAGGATGGGGACGATGATGCTATCTGCAGCCGAGTAGAGCTGCCCCTTTGCCGACTCCTCATCGTTGGTGAAGTTCCAGCTGCTGGTCGGATCACAAACCAGTCCCGGAGAAATAGAAGAACCCATCGTCTTGCTCTCCCCTTCTCGCAGTATCTCCTTTGCTGAATCTCCCTCTTCTACCCTTTCCTTTTTTAAAAGTTGGAACATCTGAGGATGCGAATGAATTGTCAGAAACAACCAAAGGCAGTGCGTGGTCGACGTAGGTTAGACTTAAAGGTCGTGGAAACGAAATCAAATAACATGACAGAGTGTTTCTGCCTTTTAGCGTTTCCACTGAGCTTGCACGGCTTGACTCATGGTATCTTACCGCAGTAAGCCAGGTTGATCATTTACAGTTTGTCATCAATACTGGTTTGTCACGTCGAGGGCATACAGTTAATCACATCCTATTGCATTCTGCGATGGGTGACAGTACGTCATTGCTGCAGTCAGGGCCCTGTCTGAGCAGAATCAACGAAAATGAAGTAATGCAAAAGGATCAAGACTACACCAAGGCTGTGTTGATTTGATGGTTTATTATGAGTTGGAATACGAAAGTTTGTGAACAACTTGACACAGGTGTGCCAGAAAGTATCGACTCGATTCAGATATAGGCCTAATGTGCGTCATTGTCCAAATTGTCTAAATATTCAGACGTGTGGTCATTTTCGGAAGCTAAGTCACTCAGATCAAACTGGCTTAAGTTGTCTGCTGGCGGCTTTATTGTTCTGACTTCTTTTGACATTTCTCCGTACTTTGCTGGACCAGAAAAAGACTCAGAATGGCATTTTGATGGAACATTTCTTTGTTTTTGTTTATTGCAAACCTCTAATTTTACGCCCACAAAACCTAACACCAAAACCGTGCATCAAAATTGATAATCTTTTTGAAAAACTAAAGGCATCTTTCTGACAATTATCACGAATTCCCGGCCCCAAAGGACCTTTATCGAAGGTGTGGTGGTATATTGGGAGTGCAGGTAATTCATTTCTGAAACATATATATGTCTCAACACTGCCACTTAACTCTGCTGGACACCAGATCTCAATGACTACAAAATAATCTCATGTAACGTAAAATCCAGATGTAATATCTGAAGCAATCAAGATGCAGGGGACAAATTCTTGCCACCGTTGCTCCCCGACCATTTATTTTACGGCAAAATACTCAACACAAAAATGCGCTACTTTACAGACTGTTATCAGTATCATTGTGCGCCGACAAAACGTTTTATAAATGTCGCAAAAAAGTCTACTGTTCATCTCGTGTGTTTTACACAAAACGACCACACGCCAAGTCGAAAAAGCTAGGTTCAGATATCTATTACTATGTGTTTTGAAAAAAATGAGAGGACTTTTCGACCGACGCTGGGCCACGAAAGTGGAATAATCCGTTATACAGGCCGGTATGACAGATACACATTGATGGATGTCCAGGTTGACTTTTTGCAGTTCGCGATTGTCTGTTTGAGCATGCGTAACAGTTTATCAAAGTGATGCCAAAATGTGTAACTTTCAGTTTATGGTCGTGCCATTCGGCACGTTCTTCCCAAACATCCCTGCTTTCGCAATTGTTGTTCCTATTTCGGGACTGTTTATAATATTTCCAGATAATACACCCACAATGCTCCATTCCTCGAAAGGCATCAAGCTTACGCCCAATGTTGCTGTGTCAACATGATCTCATGCAAGTCGCCGACTTCTTTCGTTTGATGTGATTAATATTTGGCGCGTCAATCTTGCACTGTCGGCGAGACGTACGCTGTGGATGTAATCTGCCGTAATATCTTTAGTGAAGTTGCCTATTACCCAGTGATGTAGTGGAGTTTTTATCTACCGTGGAGAATTATATCCAGGGGCACTTTTATAGTAAAAGTATAAGTAAAATAGAGATAACAAGACGTATATTGGGGAAAGGGAACTGTGCAACTCTATCTTTAATCAATGACAATTCTCAGATTAGTCTATCGACTTTTTAAATCAAAGATGCTCTTAGATAGACCAAGAGCTATTGCCGTAATTATTTTGGACAGGATTGGCTACGACAGTCAGTCTCAATTCATAGACGAACAACAGGAGCACCTGCCCGTAGTAGCTCACGAAACCAGCTTGTGGGTTTTACAAGTTTTATATTATAATGTCTTGCTTGATCGGCTATATGAGTGAAATTGCCACCAGCGCTTGGCCAACCGTAGCGAAGCCTCATATTTGTAGCAAGTGCGCTCTTGTGTACTTGTTACAAACTAATAGATGTTTTGTATGGGGGCATGACCCCTGGTTGCCACGCTATTGCTGCGATGCAAACCTGTCGAAAAGCCAAGTATGAGTTTAACAGCCACAAGTGGTCTGGATAAATCCCATTGTCTGATTAGTGAGTCGTTCATCACGTTCCATTAAATCACTGGGCTCAAATCCTAGCCTGGATTCGCCAGTATTGGATGGAAAAATTTCATGAGGTATTCTTATCACTTGCATTAAGTGAAGCATTCATCTTTCGTGCAATCCCCAATCCTCAATCCTTTCGACTGCTGGAGTGGAGTTTACCCACTACCCAATCCTACCACGTGGGGGCGCCCTATTGTAAAATGGCAGCTTCCATGCGCTTTCGAATTTGGCGGACAGTTCTGCGTTTCCAAGCGAATTTCGCGTCAAATGGACCTCAGGAAAAGGCGCAAAAGATATTTCTGCGAGATTTTAGTTCAAAACGTCGTTTTTTTGGTTTTAAGCGCCCGCTGATACCTTTAAGGTGCCATTTCTCGGCAATTTCTAGACCGGCTGTTGTGCTAGGTCTGGGATATGCAGGCGTCTCCGTGGGATTTTGCGGGATCGTAGGCATGGTAGGCCTAGTATTTGCGCGTTGCGCTCAGTCAAAAATAAGTGATACATGTAAGTATGTCGTTTTATGTCAGACTCATGCTTTGTTTAAATTAAAAAATGCATACTTATTGTAAGTAGACAAGTATATGAAATGCTGGTTATGTTGGTTTTACATCATACATGAAATTATGAATCAATGTTCGCTGACCAGTGCTGACTGACTGAATAGGATGAATGGTGCAACATCATGAACATCTCAATGATTGTCTGTAGGCTATTTGTATAATTCTTATCTCTCGTCCTAAATGAGCTCTGAGTGTGGTGAAGAAAAGTGACGAAGTGCTTCCTTTTGTTTCAGTGAAAGAGAGATGGTTCTTAGCAGCAAGAAGAAACAATGTGTCTGAAATTAAGAGGTAATCAAATGAAAACAACATAAAAAGTGTTCCTGTGTATGTGTAGAAACTATGATTTATCCAGCTGTGGCCCCTTGCAGCGTTTGGATGTGGGTTTCATTCATATCAAAGAAAGGGATCCCTGTTGGACTGTCACAATTTCAAGTATCATATAAGCAGAAACAAATTTACCCCGCTTATTAAACTTGTTTTCCCTGGGACCTAGGCATTGAACCCTTTGGTTTCATTGAACCCCTTTTTCTCTCTGCATCCCCCTTAAAAGTAACGGCCACCCCCTTTAAACTTCTTGTAATATGACACTCCAATATGAAATCCCCACTCATCCCCAAAACCCATTAGTGAATTTATCAGTCAGTGTTATCGTTCAGTGCAGTCTTGACTCTTGCACAAATTTATTGTACTCTCTTCCGAGTTAATTATCCTATGAATGGATATCATTCAAAGGCAAATCAACTCAGGATGGAGTACAGTGAATTTGAGCAAGTTTCAAGATTGCACTGAGCATAGAGCGTTGGGGGAGACAGTAGTCAGTATTGCTCCCGTGAATTTTTGCCCACACTTTCAGATTGACGTTTTCATTTGCATTGTTTGTACAGTGTGTTACATGAATAGCCATTGTGTCTGTTTCTTTCAGCAACACAGTTGTCATATATAAATGTTGACTTTTGTTTTCAAGGCTAATAGAAGCAGGTGTAGACGTCAATGAGCGTCATCCACTTGGCTGGACAGCCCTACAAGTTGCATGTGTCAACAAGAACGAAAGGTGAATTCATTGTCTATCTGTGTTGCAGGTCACATACACATTAGTAGTTCAGCTGCGAAACTTCATTTATGTATATGTATTTTGAGTTTCCCCACAGTATGTGCTTATATGTAATAATTAACTGGACATGTTACATGTACATGGTATGCTTGACTTTTTTTCCTTTTGTGGTCACCAGTGTGGTGCGAGTCCTCTTGCAGGCAGGTGCTGATCCCAATCTTGGTGATGACTTCACCAATGTGTGGAATGTATCCCAGACCAAGGGCATCAACTCATTACATGGTTTGTTATCACAGTTTCATTCTTTTGGCTCTGAGATGGGGGGGCAGGGGAATTCCCCATCCAACCCCTCCACCTTTATAGGCTCAATATCAACCATTGTTTTAAAACAAAAAGGATAAAAAAAGACAAACTTTTGACAGGTGTGCTCAAATCAACTGCCGAATGAAGTTCACAGTGTTTACAAACTTTTTTTTCTCAAAACCGCCTTCTTGCCAAGAGAGAAGAGCTAACTTTCCACGGTATTGCTTCAAACTATCTACCAACTTCAAGTTTGATTTTTCGTTACTTTTAACCTATGATTCCGTTTGTACGGAAGAGGAAATAGGATGTCATGTGAAAAGGATTTTAACTTTTTAGCTTTTGAGAAAACACCTGCAAAATTATGTAGACTTGGCTTATCTTGGCATATCCATATTGTGTTTGGTCTGAATCTTCCATTCCCTGTGCACTCTGTACAGTCCTGGTTACCAGGGAAGATGAGTTCAGTGACAACCTGAACAACCGGGCAACATTCAAAGGATGCACTGCATTGCATTACAGTGTCTTGATGGATGATCTCCCCGTCACCAAGATGCTGCTGGAGGCCGGTAAGTTGTTTTGGAAAATTTGCGACTTTGAAGCAACTCTTGAGTATATGGATATTACTTGAAGTTTTGCTCGACGGTAGCATCATTCCTGTTACTCATATTGAGTTGTCTTTATAGATTATGTTTTTTTCACAAACAGGAGCAAACCCCCTCCAAGAGAATGAAAATGGCCACACCCCAGTGCAGTACGCCAAAAGTGCCACGATGAAGGAACTACTTCAGAAGCACGAAACAGATGTATGTTCCCCCTCCCCTGGTCATGCCCTCCAAAGTGAAAGATGAAAGGACAGGTTACCAAATGAATAGTCCAGAGTTTGTATAGACCTTTCAAGGAAGCTTTGTTTAAGCAGGTGTCATTGTCTGTTTGATTTGATAGTTCAAAATACTTGAGGAGCAGAGAGCAGCTGAGGAGAGAAGGAAGTATCCCTTGGAGCAACGACTCAAGGAACACATCATCGGTCAGGAGGGAGCCATAGCAACGGTTGCATCTGGTCGGTGTCCATGATGAATTCAACTGCTTCACTAGTGACCAAAGTTGTGGTCAAGGTCTTCATGAGTGCTCCAGTTTCTTGACAAACAGTTACAAGTCTTCACAAGAACAAGTGTATCGCAAGCATCCCAGTGTCAGGAGAAGCCACAAGCAGTTCAAAACTAAACAAAGACTTCCTCTGTTACTGCTCACTCATTATACGGAAAGAACTTAACAGTACTTTTCATAACTGTTGAAAAACTGTGAAGCAATTTTAGAGAACTCAAGTACAACATTGCTAGTGATTCAAATGTTGCACTTTGTTTTTGTATACATGTTTGTCTCTGACTTAAGGATTACAAACAAAGAATACAATTATTATTTTGACTACACGGCAACTGTGGTATTTAACAAAGTATCTTGTTTCTTGTGTCATCGATCAAAGCAATCAGAAGGAAAGAAAATGGCTGGATGGATGATGACCATCCCCTAGTGTTCCTGTTCCTGGGTTCGTCAGGTATCGGTGAGTGAAGCCTATAACCTAGTACTCCCAGATCAGTCAAAATCCACTTGGAAGTCTTGAAAGATTTTGGAGCTTTAACCGGGGGGAACCTGGGCACTGCTGCTCTACTTGGGATTTGATGTCATGCCAGGTAAAGTACAATTCAGGCATCATTGGGTTCCTGCATAGTGGTTGATTTTGCTGGGATTCAGGGAGGTTTCTTTAAAATTAATGAGAATTGATGGTGAAATCTTTGAAAAAAAAAAGATTCAGAAGGCTTTTACGATTTTGAGAATTGACCATTGAAGTTGTTCGTGTGGAAAACTACACACATTGGTTTAGCTTTACACAATTTGTCTTGCAGGCAAGACGGAGCTTGCCAAACAGATAGCACAGTACATCCACAAAGACGTCAAGAAGGGGTTTATCCGAATCGATATGTCAGAGTACCAAGAGAAGCACGAGGTGGCCAAGTTCATTGGCTCCCCGCCTGGCTATGTCGGGCATGAGCAGGGTGGTCAGCTGACCAAGAAACTCAAGGCCTGCAGCAATGCGGTGGTGCTGTTTGACGAGGTAGACAAGGCCCACCCGGATGTGCTGACCATCATGTTGCAGCTCTTCGATGAGGTGAGTCATTTTTTTCTTATGTATTTCATTTCAGCCGGGGGGGGGTAGATTTTCCAGACCTGGGTTGGTAAGCAAACATCAGTTGAGAACCGTGATGCAGTAATGCATCACGGGATATAATAGCTGACATCCGAACCCTATTTTTGCTAAGCAGATACTGTATTTTTGTGTTCAAATGAATACTCGCCACAGCTCTGAGCTGAAGTTTAACATCAAGCAAAACCAGCTTCATTGCTTGGGTCACGGGGAGACTCGTACCACCCTTTCCCCCTGCATGAGGTCTCTCCCCACTTCACCCAGTGAAAGTTCAAACTCTGGTTTCAACCTGTGTAGTTTTAAGAGTGTTTTCATTCCTGTGACACCCAGGGTCGCTTGACTGATGGGAAAGGCAAAACCATTGAGTGCAAGGATGCCATCTTTGTCATGACTTCCAACTTGGCAAGTGATGAGATTGCAAGATATGGACTACAGCTCAGACAAGAGGCAGAGGAGATAGCAAAACAGAGGCGTGCTGGAAAATTGGGTATTAAAGTCAAGGAGTTATGCTTGAAAAATGCTTTTCTGTCCTTGAGGTTTAATGGCTGGATGCAATGGCAGGCAGGATGACTGATGTACTTCCTTGTCAGCAAAAGCATGTATGCATTGCTGGCTGGCTGAATTACAGCTTGCTGGTTGGCATATTTATTAAACTAGCTACTTGACTAGCTGGCTGGCTGTTAGTGGCTTGCTACTAGATGGGCTAGTGGACTAGCTGGTTTGTTGACTGGCTGATTAACTGACTGGTTAACTAGCTGGATGATTGACTAACTGGTCAGCGGAACAGCTCACTGGTTGGCTTCCTAGTTGATTTTATAGTTGAAATTTGGCCATTAAATACTGACTTACTAGCACAGACTTGCTTAGTGGATTTTTACATTTGGATTGCTTGTTATGTAGGTGACCTTGAGATTCCCGAGAAGGTGACCGTCTCCAGGAAGTTCAAGGAGGAGGTGGTGCAGCCCATCCTCAAGCATCACTTCAGAAGGGACGAGTTCCTCGGCCGCATCAACGAAATGGTGTACTTCCTCCCCTTCTCCCATTTGGAGCTCATCAAGTTGGTCACCAAGGAGCTTGACTTCTGGGCCAAGAAGGTTGGACTACTCTCGAATTTTCAAGAGATGCTTGCTGATCCTTTGCAGCAGATATCCTCGCCCCAGTTTTGGACCCCACTGCTGATTCCCTGCAACCAACCCTCTTAGGAAAAAAGTTAATGATCAAACCCTTTGCCGATGACCAGATCCCACAAAGTGACTATTAAGTGCACCTTTCTGTAATCTGTCTTTCATAGGTTGTACAAGTAGAAGGGAACACTTCAAGCTGTGTGTTTTGATATATCGTCCAAGTTTTTGTACTCATAAATTTGGAGATTATGTAGTTGATAACAGTGATAGTTCCACTGAATGGTATTAAAAAAATGGAATGCAGAGGGCTAACTTTCGTTTGGTGTGGTCACTTCTTTAGTTTAGTGACACTTAAAGTTGAAGCAGTGTAACTGCAATGACAGTTAACTTGAAGTTGAAGGACTGGAGAGTGCCGTGCGAGAGTGTGGACAAATTTTGGGACGGTATGTTGAGAAACTAAGAACCCATGACAGTACATGTACATGTAATCATTGAATTTCATTGTACCAGAGAATTAGGGAAGGAGTGAAGTGTGTGTTGAACCTGTGGAAGGAAATCTACAGTGCTTCATTTGACATTGTGAAGGGACCGAAAAATCCATCAGAGAGCTAGCATGTGAATTAGATGACACAGGCACTTGTTCATTCACGATCCTTACTACTGTCCACCACAGGCCATGGAAAGACACGACATCGACCTCAGCTGGGATAGACAGGTGCTTGATGTATTGGCCGATGGGTATGATGTGCACTACGGCGCAAGGTCAATCAAGCACGAGGTAGGGACATAGACCTGCAAGAGGAGTCAAGTGCTGGAATGACAGGATGCATCATCTAATACTTTATTCCTTCAGCCTGAAGCCCCTTTTTGTTTTGCGTGTAGGACTGACCTGATGCAAACGATTCAACATTTGATTTTCCGAACGTGTCCAGAAATGGTTATTTAAACAGCTGAACAGTCAGCACCGCGTAATACTTTCAAAGGGGAAAATGCTGTTATGTTAACATTTTCTTTTCCAAACGGCATCAAATAAAACCAAGGAACATTCCAACGTTGTCATTAAAACTTCATGATTCTCCTTCTTTTCAGGTAGAAAGGCGTGTTGTCAACCAATTGGCAGCAGCACAAGAACAGCAGCTCATCCAGAGAGGCTGCCAGCTCCGCATCACTGTGGAAACCTCGGCGGACCCAGGCGAGCTCGCCAGCGGCCCTGCCTCCCAGTTGGAGCCGGCAGCGACCGGTCATCATGGCCTGCTCAGGTTGCAAATCCTGTCCAAGGGCGGCAGGAAAACCCTGGACCTAAAGAGCGTGCCCGCCCCGGATAATGTGGACTTCTAAGCCCCTCTCTGATGGCGTTGGAGAGCACCCTCTTGCGGTGGAAATTGAGGAGTTGGAAAAGATGTACATCCCCACAGCAAGGAAATGCTCAGCTCATTCTTTGTGTTCCATTTTTTTAAAGGCTGCCCTCTCTTGTTGAAGTGAGTTCAGTCCATATGGCTTTTATTAGTGTTCAGGTATTTGATGGAAAGAGAACACAATGATATACGCCGAATTATTTCAGATCCAAAAGAAATTTACCAAAGGTACTATTTTGTCTGGTAGGTCTGTGTATGAGAACATGATAACAAATCCTTAGTGCTATCTCTAATGTGAAGTATGTAAATTACAAAACTTGAAATTTACCTGCAGTGATGTATGTAATTTACTGATTGATCGGTTCAGAATTTTTCTGAGTAATGATATTTTAAATGGTGTGAGAAGTCTTCGCTGATACTAACATGGATACTCTGGATCGTAGAATCTCCTAGAGAGTCCTGAAAAATAAACTTGGATATTCACGAATGTGTGTCCACATCACAGAGGTGTACTAATTTTGGAAATGTGTTTCAGAAATGGACAAGTTTGACCCCGAAAGAACCGGGTTATTTTGGACCATGTCACGGCCGGGAGGGGGGCGGATTCCGCCGGCCCCCTGAACTGGGCTCCGCTGCCCATTGCATCGGCAGCCGCAAGGTTTTTTCAAACCTGGCATATGTATGTAGAGGCACTCCTCAGCAATGCAAATGTTAAGTTGAACTTCATCTTACACTCGGTTTTGTTGGTACATTTAGCACGGCAGTGGAAAGTACGATCATGTATACATCTTGGGTTGACTTGTCTCAGAAAAATGAGCGCTACGCAAGAACGGTATGTTCATTTTTCACAACAGTAGTGTCAAAATGACCGAAGAATTGCTACAAATCTCCCAAAGGTTTTGCTCGTGGGAAAAAATATTGACGGAGCGGATTCCGCCCCGGCTCTTTTATATTATGTCAACATTCGGGCCTCAGAAGTGCCTGAAACGCATGGATCGTGTCTGAAGTTGAGCTGGAAATGGGTATTATTTCCAGTGGCGTTTTTTGGAGTCCGCGTATAATGTGTGCGTTTCAAGAAAACAGAAGGAACTGGAAAGGTCGATTATAGTAAAAGAAATTTTCGATTGAAAGTGCACAGAAAATTTGAAAATGCATGTGTTGTGTCTGTTGTCAGCGCTGTGGTTAATATGAGTAGATTTTCTATTGTGGTTGCCCAAGGAACAACTTGATAATAAACACCTTTTCGTCCGATGGAGTCGAGTTGCTTTGCAGGGAAACAGTCGGTGTCTGTCCGTGACATTTTCCGCACAAAAAGACTCGTCAATTTAACTATTAATTGCCATTTTGACCGGCATTTTCGGCCAAATCCTAGAGCAAAATTCGTTCGAGTTGTCTTGTTTTTTTGGCCCCAGCAAGATGTGCTAAGTAGGGGAAATTAGACGAGCGAAGCCGGAAGAATTGCGAGATACGGGTCGGCGGCAGAGTGGCCGAGAAAGGAGGAATGTGGAACGGCACTTTGGAAGAAGGAAACAAGACAAAAATCGATGTGTCTTTTTCAGCGGCTGGGAACAGTTCCTGAGTGGGCAGGTTTTTTTGTTGTTGTTGTTGTATGTGTGTCTGCTACTCTGGAAATATCGCGTGGGATGAAAAGAATGTAAAGAAAGGAGGTCTTGGTAGGTTATTGATGAAGATGGTAAGAATGGAGCTAGGTTTGGAGGAAGGGCAATTTAAGAAGGTAAAGGAGGCACCGTGAGAGAGGAGACGAAGGAGATGGCGTGCCCAGTAATTCGCCGAGGCGTCCGGCTGTCGCCGAGACGCAATAACTTGCAAGGAGCGTAGCCCACGGCAAGGAAATCTCGGCTTGTGAAAAAAAAAATCCATGGCTGTTTTTCCGACTAAGAAAAAAAAATGGCACCGCACTCGAATTCCTCCATCCTCCAACAGAGGCACAAGATGTCTGCGTACACCTCTGACAAATTTTGCATACGAAACCTTAAAGACGAAGTCAGTTCAACGCGGGGATGTTTAGATGCCTACATGCGATTGGTAGCTATCTCCTGCAGATTTCCTACCCATTGCAATGTGTTCAAGGTTCTTTTCATTTTTGCAGTGAGGAATAAATCATCAGAATTTCAGAAGTGCTGTCAGTGTTATTGCATTAACAGTAAGCCTTGACTTGTGTAGATGATCTTGTTGATCTGATCTTGGTAGTTTTACAGATATGTATGACTCGGTGTAATATAGTTTTACTTCCTTTAGCAATCAGAATGAGGTGCATTGGTAGTGGACAGAGCTGGTGTGATCATGATTCTGTTGGATTTGCGGTTGCACCCCTGAAGAGGTGGTGTACATTTCTAATCTCACTGGTCAGTCGTCGAGGGTGAAAGGAAGCGACTCCATTGTGAAAGCATCCGCATTTCAGCTCGTTTACACTTCGTGTAAATATGCACAGTTTTTCATTACACTAGCAGGAGTGTTGGCGATGCATCGAATGCGTTAGGGGCTTCATTTGCCTTAGCCTTTCCTATGCTGAAAAACAGGTATGGATTTGTAAAACGTCGAACATGTTAACTTTGTGTGTGACCGAAGCGTGAAGAACTCGCGGGGAAGTTGGTGTTTGTATTTAGTTTTTGATTTTTTTTCCGTCAGGAACAGTAAGATGAACTACACATCGATATCTTAAACTACTAGCTCTGGTGTAGCTGTTCAGTACCAGTCCCTTGGGGCATAACGGGGAGGGAGGGAGCCTTGTGTATCGCGAGCTATTTTGGGGCTAGATTCCGGTCTGAGCCCCCCACCACCACCACCACCACACACACACCCCCGACATTGTTGTGGGTGCGCGAGTGCTTGCAGCACAAGGAATGCCGATTCCCTTTACCTTTCTCACTGGCAATATTTTTTTCTCTCTCTCTCTCTGCTAATGTTATTCAACGCTTCGTTAACACGGAAATTAAGTTTCCCCGGGAAATACATGTATAGGCATTGTTTATCATACATAATTTATACATCTCTCACCACAATGCGCTAGGTTGCTTGCGAGCACCGATACTTCCTCAAAACGCGCGCGGTGTAATCTGGTTAGATGTCTGATTTCACGAGGTTTATGAACAGATAATCAGCATTTATTGGCTGTGTCTTTTCTATAAATTACTTTTTATTACCGGTGTTCCTATTGTTGACGCTCGACAGAGAAGCCTGACAGCTGTATTATTTTATCTCTTGTGGTAGATTTTTTTTTGGATCGCTTTTTTATGGGTTTGCGGGAAAATCATAGGCCGATGCGGCGAGGATTTCGAGGGACTTTTGTTTCTTATCAAAAATTATTTTCTCCTCGTAAATTTTTTTGTAAAACTTTTTTTTCTTGGGTGAGAAAGGAACCTATCCATGCGTTTTTTTTCAGGAAATGATTGATTTATATTATAGGCTTTCTGTTTCCAAAATCCTGGAGACGCAGAAAGAGAGTTGTTTGAAACATAGGTTGATGGGTGTCCCTGAGTAAACGCACCCCTCTGTGTTAAAAGACAACCGTGAATATGGACATTTCTACAGAGATGACGTATGGTTGAACCAACTCACAAAAGGACAGATAATCAATTATAATTCATCGTCTTCTTCAACCCCCTTGGGCCCCACACCAATACGGACCTAAGGCTCCAAAGGCTCCAAATAAAATGACAAAGAAAAAAAGGAACTCTGGAGGGCCTCGAGAATCCCTGGAAACAAACAAGCCGCGAAGTCGGAGGGGCAGAAAAACCCGCCGAAGCGCGCAAATTGGCTTGGCGTGGGCCGTATTTGTACAGCTCAACCGCGAGCAAGGAGCCCCAACCAGCTGACAAAATGGCCGAAGCCCCGGCGGCATGGCAACTCCGCAGCGCTAAATGTCCGTCTGCGATTAAAAGTCATCCATGTGGAAAGATCTCCCCCTTTTTTCTACCCAACTCTTCACGGAAATCATAATGGGCCAAGTGTTTTAATTATTATCCTCGGCGGGTGGATGGAGGTTGTGCGTGTGTGCATAAGCGTGCGCCCTGCGGTTGTTTTAGCTCGTCCATTTGGAGATTGAAAAAAAGGGAAAAGGCAGAAAGAATAATGACTAATGTCCCAAATCAGTGTTTGATGAAAAGCAGCGGGGGGATACATTTAACTGTCATGGTTTTTGTGGAATTTCTAATCTTCAATCTAGATCCAGTAGTTTGAGATGTGTGCGAAATGACACGGTCTTGCATGCCAGGTATTATATCATTTTTCTACATGCTTGTAGAAGTTTCCGCACATAATCTGTGTGCATGCTTTGCAAGATGTTTGATGTATTTTGTTAGCTATTTTAGAGAGTTTATCCCTCTGATATATCTCATGTCTTGTAAGGTACATCTGCGTGTCACAGTGCATGACGTTGCTCATCACTTCCATCGCATAACCAGGCAAGAGCGTAAGATGCAATCACGTATAAGATAGACTTTCCCCAAAAGCATTTTCACTATTGATCGCACGTTGCCTACCCCCCATGCCCGTGATCAGTGCGAGTGAGTGATTTTCCAAGCAATTAATGCTCCAATCAGTGTAGCGACCGCGCGGCCGCTCCACAATAATATTGTAGCAACTCCAGGGCAACCGGATACAGAAAGCTCCGGACGAGTACATATTTCCGGCCACTTGTTTATGTTTTTTTCTAACACGTTAGCCTCAACAGCAAGACACAAAGCAGACCAGAAACGCCCTTAAGTCAAACTCGATAGCGATTTCCTGAGTCCGAGTCGCAAACGAGCGAAGCGAAGTTTTATTGCGGCAAATCTAACGGTATATGCACCCGGTGGAACCGCGGGGCGATATGCAGGCTAGCCAGCTGACACAATCCTGCTTGACGGGGGCCGGCCAGTCGGTTTTTTTTCCACTCTTCTCTTTTTCTTACTTCCCCCTTCTCATCTCTTCCGTGACGCTATTCAGGCGGAAGTGCTGCGATCGATTTCTCGTCCTGGCGCGGTTGAAAAGTCTCTTCGGCGCTCATTCAGCGTGTGTGGTTCAGTCTGTGGGACTCACCATACGCAGGCTGGCTCCATACAGTATTGAACGCTCGGGCTACAGCACCGCGGGCATTCTTCGACTAGTGCCATAATATGTAACAAAAACGTAAAGGGTAGGGCCTTCTTTCATGCAGATAATAAATTCACCTCAAATCTCAAGTTGAATCCTGGAGAGATGAACTTCACTGTCACCTTTACCTCTTTAATAAAGACTTGGCAACCTTAATGTTCAGTCGGCATCGGCAACTTGGCTCATCTTGAACTGCTGTTGTACTGTCCGAGATATAACGTCCAGAACAAGAAATTGCTCGTGTTAATCGTAAATTCACTCATTGAACTAGAAATGCATGTATCTTTGGGAATACCAGATAAACTGCGATACTTAGATCTTTGAGGGTATCGTAGGTAGGTAATTTAAGAATTATGTCTCCATAATGGCGGCGTTTGTATACCCTAGTTTTTC